GCGCCGGCCAGCGCGGCCTCGTCGCTCGTGTCGGCGTCGGCCAGCGGGTGGGCCGGCTCGACGCCAGACGCAAAGCTCGCCGTCGCGGTCGCCACCATCCGCAGCAGCTGGGTTCGGTTGAGCATGACCAGGACCGGGAGCGCAAAGACGGCACCAAAGATGAAGAAGCCCGCCAGCGCGGTCTGGTCGCGCGACACAATGTTGCCGATGAGACCAAGGACAACGCCAAGAAAGGCGACAATGACGGTCGGCCACGAGGCACGGAGCCGGGTAGGCAAGTTCGACCGGCGGAGCTTGAGCAGCATGTTGCCGACGGTGAAGAGGGTCATGACGGCGAGAAAAGCAATGGTGTAGACCCCGGCCATGATGTCGATCTTGCCGCCAGTGAAGAGAACCATGGCCGAGGTGAGGAGCCAGAGGCCGACAATGATGTAGTGGCGGGTCCCGCGGAGCTTGTTGGTCCGCAGCAGAATCTGCGGGAGACAGCGGTCCATGGTCATGCGGTGGACAAGGCCGTTGAAGCCGACAAACGACGAGATGACGGCGCCAGTGAGGACAAGGCCGGCGTCGATGATGATGAGCACCTCAAGCCACTTGCCGGCTGCGATGCGGCCCATGAGCGAGAGCAGCGCACCCTCGGTCGCCTGCTCCTCGATAAGCGCCATCGGCACAAGGCACTGCGCGAGAAAGGCGGTGGCGGGATTGATAATGGTGACCAGAATCCACATGTTCCGCAGGGTCTTGGGAAAGACGCCCGGCTGCTGCTGCTCCACGTAGTTAGCCGACGACTCAAAGCCGGAAATGCCGAGGAGCGCGGCCGAGAAGCCGAAAAAATGGCCGAGACCACGCCGCCGTCGGGTGAGGTCGACGTCCAGTTGTGCGAGAGGACGGACTCGTTGCCGACCCGCGGCATGTCGGTCACAGCCTTGATGGCCGAGCACACCAGGAGAATCGCAAGCGACGAGCAGTGGAGCAGGAGAATGCCGAGTGCAACGCCGGCAGACTCGGTGATGCCGAGCAGATTGAGGATGGCAACAAAGGCGAGGAGTGCAATGGTAAAGGTGATGACATTGAACCACTCAACGTCGGTGGCGAGCGACTTGATGTACCGGATGGCCGACGACGACGAGATGACTGCCGTCGCCACGTACGAGAGCATGGTGAGACATGCTGCGAGTGAGGCCTGTGCCTTGGACGTGGTATTGAGCAGGAGGTTGTACGTCCCCCCGTTGACAGGGAGCGCAGAGACTACCTCGGTGTAGATCGAGCGGAAGAGGTAGAGCAGGCCGCAGATGATGAGTAGCGCTATGGGCGCGTACTTGCCCGCCGGCGCTGCGCAGAGCGCAATGACGTACAGACACGACGAGCCGATGTTGTTACAGCAGATGCCCGAGGCCAGGAACTGGTTGAGCAGCTTGCCTGCCGGCGCCGCGTCGCCGTGGGGATCAGGCGCTACCGGGATCTCGTCCGTCGCCTTAATTGCTTTGGCCAGATATGTCCGGGTCCGCGACGAGAGCGTCAGTGTCGCGCCGCCCTCAAGCTCGTCCAGCGTCCGGTTTGACGCCATCGGCGCCTCGCGGCTCGAGCCAACTGTGTCGATGACCTCAAAGTGCGAGCCAGAGCCCGAGCCCGAGCCTGAGCCCAAACCCGAGCCCGAAGCCAGGCTCCGGTTCGCGCTCGGAGCATCAGCACTCGGTCGAGGAGCCGGCGGGAGTGCGCGTGCCTCCATCTCGTCGTTTGACGAGCACGAGTAGGTGTAAAGCTCGTACGAGGCCGAGCCGAGTCCGCGTCCGGCATCATCACCGCGTCGCTCGTGACGTAGAGCGTGCCTTTCCCTGCCCAATGACGAGGTCGAGTTCTCCGACGAAAAGCCGATGACCTCTGATAGCAGCGCCATGCGGGACGGGGCGTAGAGTGTGCTTGCAGGCAAGGCAAGGCCGGTACGTCGAGAGCGAGCGACAGGTGAAGTGACAGCAACGGTGGTGGGGCGAATAGTTGGCTGAAGGGTGGGTGGGATGGTTTTTTGGGGAAGTGTGGGCGTGGGCGTGGATAAAAAAAATAGTTACGCAATGACCGTGCTAGCAAGCCGGAAAAGCAGGAGCGGCGGCTTGATAACTGGGAGACTCTAGCAAGCATTCGTCCCGAGAGCAACAAGGCAAGGAGACGGGACGGGGACAGGTACGGAAGCACACATCTCACACAAGCAAGGCAGCGAGGAGGAGAGGGAGAGCATGGACGCGGTGGACGAGTTTGACATCCCGTTTGAGAGCCTGCGGCTGGGCAAGGAGCTCGGGGCTGGCTTCTTTGGCGTGGTGTACAAGGGCGAGTACCTGGCAACGAGCGTGGCACTCAAAGCGCTCAAGGTTGCGGCCGAGGACAAGGCCGAGGTCATCGAGTCATTCCGCAACGAGGTTGCTGTCCTCAAGGCCTTGCGGCACCCGCACGTCATCTCGTTCATGGGCGTGTCGGCCGGGCCGGACCAGCTGTACATTGTAACCGAGTTTGCGCCGGGCGGCGATGTGCTCGGCCTTCTGGAGAACGCTGCCGTCGAGGTCTCGTGGAAGCTGCGGATGCGGATGGCACGAGAGACAGTGCTCGCGCTCATGTACCTGCACTCCAAGGGCGTCATGCATCGTGATATTAAGGCCGGAAACCTGCTGCTCGACGACGGGTTCCACGTCAAGGTCGCCGACTTTGGCATTGCCAAGCAGGTGCCGCGCGCGCCCAAGGGTGCCAAGGCGAAGCGCCTCTCGATCGTTGGCTCGCACTACTGGATGGCGCCCGAGGTGCTGTTTGGTAAGGAGTACTCGGAGCTGGCTGACATCTTTGGCTTTGGCGTCACCCTCACCGAGCTCATCACCCGCCAGCTGCCGGACCCAGACGTGCTGGACCGGACAAATGAGTTTGGCATTGTGGAAGCCTCACTCCGCGAGCTGAGCACGCCGCGGGTTCCGGACCCGCTCATTGCCCTCGTCATGGCGTGCTGCGAGGTCGAGCCCGAGGCGCGCCCGGCGTGGCCGGCCATCCTGGCCAGCCTCGACGACATTACGAGTGCACTGCCGGACGCGGCGCTGATCCCGGTCGACCTGACTGGCGCCGCGGCGCAGATCCGGTGCGCGCTCTGCCTGCTTGAGCTCTCGGGCCCGGTTGTCCACCTCTCCAAGCCTGTGGTCCGCAAGTACCACGAGCACTGCTTTGCCTGCCATGCGTGCGGGGTCCAGCTCGGCACCTCGGCCGACTTTCGGCTGCACAACACGACAGTGTACTGCAAGGCCGACTACCGGCGGCTGCACGGACGCGTGTGCGCCTCGTGCTCGGCCGAGCTGGTGCCGTCGGCATCGGCGGTGTCGCTTGTCGCCGAGGCCATGTACTGCCCGGCGTGCGCCGAGGCCGCCGCCGCTGCTGCTGCTGCTGCCGCCGCCGCCACGCCCGAGCAGCGACATCGGCGGTCCGAGACGGTGACCTCGCTCAGCTGTGCTGCGTGCACCAAGTCAATTGTGGCCGGCGCATCGTTCCTGGCTGCCGAGGGTGCACACTACCACAAAGAGTGCTTTGTCTGCTCCGAGTGTGGCAGCGCACTTGCTACTTCCTTTAGGGCCGTCGACCGCGTGCTGTTCTGCGAGAGCCACTACCTCGCGCGGCACGGCACGGCCTGCACCCGGTGCAGCAACGTCATTCCGGGTCGTATCATGCGCATTCTCGACATGACGCTCCACCCCGAGTGCTTGACATGCTTTACCTGCGGAACGCCTCTCGAGGGCAAGGCCATCCACGCCCAGGGGGGCTCGCTCTTTTGCTCCGAATCGTGCCTGCCGTCGGCATCGGGCTGACAAGCCGCGGAGCGCAACCAGTGAATCCGGCTGCGGCTACTCGCGGTGCTGAGCAAGCGAGAGATACGAGTTCCAGAGGACGGAGATGGTCGACGTCGCCGGGAACCGCAGAGTTGGGGGGATGAGCCACCAGGCGATGGTGTTGGTTGGGACCCAGATGGTAAACGAGCCGACGACGGTGCCTGGCATCTCATCGGTGAGCTTGGTCAGGATCCGGTGCGTGAGCTCGGGCGGGATGAATCGGGCCAGGCGCTTGTCGGCAGCGACGGCGGGAACGGGAGAGGCATCAGCAGCGAGCGCGTCTTGCTGTGCGTCGGCCTCGGCGACCGTGGCGGCGAGCTCGATGACAGGTGGCGGTAGCGACGCTGCACGCTCGGAGACCACTGCAGCGACAAGTGCAAGTGGGCGAGTGTCGGGAGGAGCGAGCGGGCGCGAGAGCGAGATCGGCAGCGGCGCGAGCAGCTTCGGCAGGTGGCACTCCATCCAGTACTCGACGCTGGTCGAGTAGGCAAAAAACGCGCCGTTGGAGAGCGGCGCCATGGTGACGGCCGTGAGGAGAGCCTTGGCTAGGGCACCCTTAAGACCCGTGGCTGATATGACCCGATCAAGGAGTGGATACCACGGCGCCCAGACGGCCGGGAGCACGGTGAGGCCCCACGAGGCCATGACAAAGGTGCGACCGACGTCATGAGCCGGAACAGGCATGCCTTCGCGGCGAGCCTGGTCGCGCTCCAAACTCTGGGCCACAATGTCGCCGGCAGTCATGAGCGAGCCCGAGGTGGCAGCAGCAGTGAGGAACGGCCGCGAGGCGGCGGCGGCGGCGTAGCGGGCCGAGAGCACCTTTACATGCCCAACTACGCGGAGAAGGGCGGTGCGGAAGATACCTGTGGCAGGGGACGAAGCCATTGGGCACAGGGGAATAGATGATGAGCGGTGCCGATGCTCTGGCTCTTTGCAAGAAGAGTGACCGGAGCGTGTGCGCGTGCGTGCGCGTGTGTGTATGTGTGTGTGTGTGTGTGTTCGGTTTTTCCCGGGCCCTTTTTTTGCGCCACTATTTTTTTCCCGCTCGAAACGTTCGTGAAGAATCGAAAGTCTCCCAGAAGGGGGGAGGGGGGGGGGGATGAGGGGAATTGGGGGTAGACGATTGAGTGGGGGGGGGGGGGGGAGGGGGGGCGGGGTGGGCGGGGTGGGTGTAGGGTGTGTGGGTAGAGGTGGTTTGGCTTGTTGGAGCGCTTACAAGATCCGAGACGGAGGCTCGAGACGAGTGTGCCCTCGTGACGAACGTCTATGGGTGCGGGGCCTGGCTCTCGCGTGTGGCGAGCGTGACGTGAGCAAGGAGTGGCATGGTGGCACAGAATAGAAGAAAAAAAAGACCATGCTGTTGTTTGTCAAACTGCCGAGAGGGAGGACGATGCCCGCCGGAGGAGCGAGATGAGAGCAGAGAGTGAGCCGATGATCCCGGCAGTGCGAGCAGAGATCGGTGGGTGGGAGGTGGGTGGCCAGAGGAAGAAGCCCGCGAGGACGGCATCGAGAGCGAGGAGGAGCAGGTCAAGGAGTGCGGAGAGCGACGGGGCTGAGCGGAGGGAAAGGAGAGCGCCCGGGGCGCGGAGCACAATCGACGCCGCCCATGCCAAGTTGGCGACGTGATCGAGGCTCGCCGAGTAAGGCGCAGGCGAGCTGACCACACCCCAGCTCGACACAACCGATGCGTTGTCAGCCAGGTAGTAGCCAGCATCGCATGCGCTTGCGGCGCTCTCGAGCGCCCACATCAACGCGCGCAGTCCATCGGCTGCACTTCGGGCCACGCCCGCCGCTTTCGCTGCTGCTCGAAGGGACGGCAGAGCCTTGCCCGCACGCAGCATGCGGCGCGTTCCCGAGATTGCCGCCATTGCCGGTCGCCATCGCTCGGACGCCTCAACATTGTTGGCCGTCGCCGCCCATACGCCGTACTGCACAATCTGTGAGCTGTAGTGAGTCGCTGCAGCATGGCGTGACGGTGACGTGCAGGAATCTGCCTGAGACGCACCTTGAGGGCCTTGTCATAGCCATACGTGGTGTCGAGCGTGGCGGGGAGGCATGTCGCTAGTGCTAATACCGTGGTCATGCAGTGTGGCCACCCACGTCCGCCCACGAGTCGATGGGGAGGAGAGGTTGACGGGGCGGACAGCGGGGGGGAGCATCGCGTGATCGGCCCGACCGCCGGCATACATCGGGCCATCACTCGACTGGGCGATAACGCGAGGCTACACTGAGGGGGCACTCGATGTCGGCGTCCCCACTGTAGTGGTGACCGGCCAAGTGTTGCGATGCGACACCGGGCAGGTGCCGGTCATCACTGAAGAGCTCCTCTCCCAACCGTCACGCCCAGGGTCAGATCGCACAGTCTGGCAGGACACTGGCCATCTGTCCATCCTCGGCATAGGGTCCGATGCGCGAGGTCGTCCCCATAGTCTGGACTAAGCGGAGCGCAGGCGGCATTATCAATCGGCAGGCCTCCCCGCAGCCGACGAGTGGGCGCGTTCAATCGAAATCAGAGATCACGTCCGCAAAGACGTGGGGATCTGGGACCGGCAAACGATCATGACGACCAAGCACTGATTCAGGCCCCCAAAAGTGCACAGAGCCACATGGCTACATAGAAGACAACATAGCAGTCAGCGTCAGCCAAAGTATGTTGAAATAAAGCACATCTGTATCTCGAGAGCGGCCCACGCAGCTTACTAGCTCCACTCGCGGCAGCGGTGCCACACCAGCCAACCACCGCTACGAGGTAGTTCGCGGTAGCTTGTGAGTCGCCACCTCACCCCCCTCCACCGACATGGAACGAACACGGGCAGCGCCTCCACCCTCGGCGGCGGCGGTGCTGGGCAAGGGACGGTTCTTTGCGTCGCGGCGGGCGGGTGGCGGGAGCGGGAGGGCGCGGGCGTCGCGGAGCGGGGCGGGCGGGCGGCGCGAAAAGGTCGTGTTTGCGGTCGCCTTTGCGCCAAGCGATGGCCCGGGCGGAGGCTGCGGCGCAACACACGCCGGGCTCCCTCACCTTGTGCCGCGCATCCTTGCACAGGTCTTGTACCTGCGGCAGCAGCTTCCGTCGCCGTACCAGCAGCTGGTGGCCGATGCTGCGGCGGTGGCGAGCGCCCCGGCCCCACGCGGATTTAGCGCCGCCGCGCCGCGGGCAGCCATCGCGCTTGCCACAGGCCTCTCCACGCTCTTTGAAGAGCTCACGGCCGCACTCGCTGCTGCGCCGGCCTCCATCCGTGCTGTTGACTTTATCCTCGGAACAACGGTACTGGCGCCGCGTGAGCGGCTGACACTCGTTCTTCCGCGCGAGTGCGCCTCTGGCGGCGAAGCGAGCGACGAGGTCGACGCCCGCGGCATGGAGCGGGCCATCCGGTCGACGCTGCGGCATGTGGTGATGCGCGGCGCCGAGCTGACAGCCACCAAGCAGCTGCCGATTGCGCGGCTGCACGTTCTTATCCGCGCCGCGCGCGGCCTCACCCTCCCACACTTTCTCCCCAAAGAGCAGCTGGTGCCCAAGGAGCCGCGCGACGGCTCGCGCGTCTTTCGCATCCAACTCACCACGCCCGGGTGCACCGGCATGGGCGCCGGCGACGGGGACGACGACGACGAGCAGGATGGCGACTGGATCTACTACCAGTTCACCGAGAAGCTGCGCGGCGTGAGGACAAAGTAGTCACGGGCGGCCAAAGCTGCGCCCGGTGGCAAGGCAGTAGACGGCATCGGCGAGCGGAAACCACCACCGCCACCACAGGTGCACAGGACCAAAGGCGAGCTCGAGGTTGGCGCGCGCGCGTGCAAGGCCGCGAAGCCAGGAGCGTTGCTTGGGGTGGAGACTGTAGTCGTTGTCGTCATCGTCAGCGTCATCAGGCTCGCGGCCGTCATAATACTCGCGGAGCGACGGCCGCTGGATGGCCGATGGCGAGCGGGTAGCGGCGACGCCCTCAGGGTCGCCATCAGGCTTGTGAGTCGACATGAACGGCATGTTCTCGAGCATGGTGCGGCCGGTGAGGAGCAGATAGGTCATGTAGCCGTGGAGGGCGCCGAGGACGACAAACGAGCCGACCGCAACAAGAAACAGCAGGCGGTTTCGCGAGCCGAGGCGCTCGCAGAGGGCGTCGAGCTCGGGATCGGCAGAGTGCATGGCGTCCGGCGCGTGTGAGTGGCTTGCGCTAGCAGCTGTGTTGCCCGGCAGAGCCCAGTAACAGGTGCGGAAGGACGGCCAAGTGAGGATCATAGCGTAGAGGGCGGCGCCGACGGTGTACGAGATGAAGGGATAGAAGTGGCGGATGTTGTCGCGGCCGACGCAGTTGGCCGTAAACGGGCAGTGGTGATCCATCCGCGGCACGCACGCGTTGCACGTCCCGCAGTGATGCGTGTGCGGCGTCTTGACGACCCGGCACCAACCGCACCAGCGGATGCCGAAGATGCGGAGGGCGCGGGCGAGCGAGGCACCAGGGATGGCGCCGACGGGACCGAGCTTGGCCTCGATGCGAGCGACAACGTCCGAGGGGAGGGCGGCAAAGGGATCCGCGCCTGGAGGCGGGCGGACAGCGCCCGGCGAGCGGAGACAGGCGAGGGCGAAGCAGAGCAGCATGCCCGAGTTGAGGACGAGCGAGGGGAGGAGGTGGAGGACGATCCAGGGGAGCCAGGCGGCGTGCTGGTCAAAGAACGGATAAAAGGCAGAGACATGGAGGTAGATGGCAGTGGTGATAAAGGCGACAACAACGGCGATGAGGCCGCGCTCGCCAGCCACGCCCACGCCATCGACGCCTGCGCTCGCCGCCGCAAACCACCGCCACCGGGTCACGTCGTAGCCTGCACCAAGAGCAGCCGAGACGCACAGCTCATACGCCACAGGCACCAAGTTGAGCAGACAGATGCCAAGGACCACCACTGCGCCGTCCACATGCTCAGCCACCCATTCCAGCACCATCTGCGTCAAGTGGTGGTCGAAGGTGTGTGTGTGTGTGTGTGTGTGTGTGTGTGTGTGTGTGTGTTGTAGGGGGTGGGGTGGGGGGGTGAGGTGGTCTCCACCCACCACCGCCACCACTGCCACCGTCCCCCACCGCCACCACTGCCACCGTCCCCCACCGCCACCACTGCCACCGTCTCCACTCCCCACACCCCTCTCCCATACCACCCACACCTGACCCGGACACTGAGTCAATGGTCTTCTTCTACACCACCCAGCACCCAGCTGGCGATGCTGCCCCCGGGGCGGCGGCAAGCTCGGCCCCGCCACCTTCGACGGGCAAGGCGACGGGCAAGGGGATGGGCAAGGCGACGGGCAAGGCGACGGGCAAGGGAAAGGCCACCGCTGAAGGCATACCTGAGGACGTCCCAGGAGCCCCGGATGACGGCAAGGTGTATGCGCTCTACCGCGGGCGCGACAAGATGGAGAACGAGGAGCTCATTGCCCATGGCTTTGACGAGGACGTCTGGTTCCACGTCAAGGACCTCTCCTCGGCACACGTATATGTCCGCATGCGCTACGGCCAGAGCCTGGACGAACTGCCAGCGTCGGTCATCTGGGACGCGTGCCAGCTGACAAAGGCCAACTCCATCGAAGGCTCCAAACGCGCCGCCGTGGACATCAACTACACGCCCTGGTCCAACCTGCTCAAGACCGCAGACATGGAGGCCGGCGCCGTGTCGTTCAAGAACCGCCGCAAGGTCCACACAGTTCGCAACGTCACAAAGGACCCCGAGGTGCTCAAGCGCCTCAAGAAGGTCATGTCTGCCGACGAGTCGCCAGACTTTGCTGCTCTCCGCATGAAGCGCGATCGCGCCGTCATTCGCAAGAACAAGAAGGCTGCAAAGGAGGCCGCAAAGGCCAAGGCCCTCGCCGACCAGCAGGCCCGCATCGCCGCCGCAGAGGCCCGCGCCGCAGAAAAGGCCCTCGAGGCCCAGCTCGCCTCCGAGTACGTCTCCAACAAGTCGCTTGGCCCCGTCGATGTCGACGAGTTCGAGGAGGGCTTTATGTAAAGTACAGCCACATACATGCATGCGTCTTCGCCTCACGCCTCGATCCCTTCCAGCTCCGCCAGAAGAATCGACATGGTGTCGCCGACAGAGCCGAACGCGTCCTCGTCGTGTCCAGATCCACCGTCTGACCCGGCTCCGCCGCCGCCCATCATGTCGCCCAACAAGCCCTCAAGCATGTCTTCTGGGTGCGCATTGATAAGATCAGCGTCGAGCCCGCCCGGCGCCTCGTTGATGAGCTCGTCAACGTCCTTCAGCAGCGTGTCGGTCACGTCCATCTGCGCCGTCTCGTTCTCCAGTGCCGACAGCAGCGCGTCGATGTCGTCGTCGTCGTCGTCACCGCCGCCCTGAGCGACACTTTCGCTCGCCCCGACCCCGGCTGCAGTCTCACGCGTTGCCCGACTCTCACTCGACTCTTGCTCGTCATCGAGGACAGAGAGGAGCTCCACGAGCGAGACCGATGACGGACGCACCGTCGGCTTGCGCCGCACGTGCTTTGGCAAGGCAGACGCCGGCGTGCCATCGTTGCCACCGCTGCCGCTCTCGGGCCCGGTTGTCAGCGGCGGTCCTTCCATCTCGGCCAGCAGCGCCTCGATCGAGATCGACGACGCCTGCGTGCTCGACTCGCCAGAGCCCGCTACAGTCGCTGCGGCCGGAGCGCTGTCTCCGGCCGACCCACTCGTGCCAGCACTCGCAGCATCGCCGCCCGCCGAGAAACCACGGAGCAGTCGCTCGATCTCATCCTCGCCCTCGTCGGGCGCCGTCACAGGTTCGAGCTTGCCTGCCAGCTCGGCGAGGAGCGAGTCGACGTCCTCCTGGTCGTCAGCCGACTCGGCCGGCGTCGCAGCTGCAAAGGGCGTCGACCGCGGCGTCTCCATCTCAGAAAGTGTCGAGAGCAGCTCGTTGACCGAGAGCGCGTTGAGGGTCGACTTGCGCGACCGCCCCGCTCCACCTGGCTTGGTCTCGATGTCGCCAACAAGCGCCTCCAGCGCCGACATGCCCATAATGGTAGGTGCGCGCACAGACTTGTTTCGCCCACCCGACCGCCGGTCGAGATCCTGCAGCAGGTCATCCACAGACTCCTCTGGCGCGCTCCGGGCCTGGCTCAGCTCGCCGAGTAGCACGTCAACGTTCGCCTCCTCTGCTTCGCCGCCCACATTCGGCTGCGGCTTGCTCACGCTGCTGCTGCCATCGCCGCCGCCGAGCTCGTTCAGCAGCGCGTCCACATCTTCAACCGCCTCGTCGGGCTCGGCCCCGCCAAGCTCGTCGAGCAGGGCGTTGACATCGTCATGCTCCGGCGTACCGGCAGCTGCAGCACTCGCACTCACGCATGTGTTGTCACCTGGGCCCGCCTCTCCAGCCAGCTCGCCGAGCAGTGCGTCGACATCCTCCACAGCCTGATCGGTGGTCTTGCGCTGGCCCTCGCCCACTCCCACATCGCTAGCCAGCTCGCCGAGCAGCGCATCGACGTCGTCCACCACTTGGGCTGTATCCTTCCGAACAGGCTTTTGCTGCGCTTCCGAGCCCGCCTGGGCCTCGGCTGTAGCAGCAACCGGCTCGGACCTACTCTCGCCGGCCAGCTCGTCGAGGAGCGCATCCACGCCATCGACCACGGGCTTGGCCCCACTGTCTCCTGCATCACCGGCCAGCTCACCGAGTAGCGCATCCACGTCATCGACCGCATGCTCGGGCTCGGGTTCGACTTGGCCGCGCTGTCTCCTGCATCACCGGCCAGCTCGCCGAGTAGCGCATCCACGTCATCGACCGCATGCTCGGGCTCGGGTTCGGACTTGGCCGCGCTGTCTCCTGTATCGCCGGCCAGCTCGCCGAGTAGCGCATCGACGTCATCGACAGCGGGCTCAGGCTTGGCCTCGACCGCCACAGTTGTAGCGGCTGCAGCAGCTGCGCGTGCCTCGGCCTCGGCCTTGGCGGCAGCCGCAGCCTCTGCTTCGCGCTTGGCAGCGAGCTCCCGCTCCTTCTCAAGCTTCTCCCGCATCACTCGCTCCCGCTCGAGCCGTTCGCGCTCGAGCCGCTCACGCTCCAGTCGCTCCCGCTCGAGCCGCTCGCGCTCCAGCCGTTCGCGCTCGAGTTTGTCGCGCAGCTCGAGCTCGGCCCGGATCCGCTCGCGCTCGGCAGCCTTGGCTGCATCCTGCTCCAGCGCCGCCCGCTCGAGCAAGAGCTGCCGTTTCTCCTCGGTGTCAAAGATCGAGACCAGGAGCGCCGAGAGCGTGACCGACACCACGTGGGCCTTGCCCTTGATCGACTCGCAGTGGAAGAGAAAGTTAGCCGGCGTCATGGCTACGCACTCGCGGAACAGTGAAATCGCGCTCTGCAGGTACACCTTGAGCGGTCGCATCACAAGGTCGCGGAGCTCGTCCGACGGGAGTCCAAGAAGATACGGCTTGGCCGTCGCCGACACGTCAGCGATCCTCTGCCGCGTGGTCTCAATTACGCTCGTCGCCTGGTTGCTTCCGGCGTTGAGAATACCGAGCATGTCAGCCGTTGCTGCGCCCGACCGCCCGATCGCGTACAGCAGCGCTCGCAGCTCACCTGCAAAGCCCGACGAGATCTTCTTGAGCGACGCAACCGCGACTTCTTGCAACTCACGGAGCTCGGCCCGGAGCGTGAAAAACGCGAGCGTGCTGTTGACTTGACCCACAAGCTTGTTCAGCGCTTCGCGGACACGGGTTACCACCGCCTCATCGCCGAGCGAGTTCTGGCACTCGGCCGCAACACGGACAACGCCCGAGCCCGACGCGGTCAGCTCGCGCGAGAGCTCGCCAATGTCGCCGCGCATCTCCACATTGGCCGCCACCAGCACCTGGCGAACCTCGTCCAGCACACTCACCATCCTCTGCACGCCGACTCCGATGTTCTTGGCGTGGCTCACCAGCGCCCGCCCATCGCCGTCCTCTGCCGCGCCGATGCCGGGCCGGACCTCGACAAGCACCTCGCCCGCCTGGAGCTCGAGCTCGCGCGCAATGACCGCACCAAACACCTGCATCCGTGAAGAGCAGAGCTTGGCAATCGCTCCAGCGCTGTTGTTGATCTCAGACGAGCCCTGTCCGTCAAACAGCAGCCCGTGCGACGCGTCCTGCGCATACCGCGCCATCCGGCCCAGTAGCCGCACGAGCAGGTACTGCTCCCGCGATGACTCCATACTGATCGCAAAGTTGACCTTCATCAACCGCCCCATCACCATTTCCAGCTCGGTACCCACATCGAGCAGCTCGCGGCCCAGGTCCTCGGCCTCGTCGCGGATCTCGCCACGAGCTCGCGGACCCGACGCCGCACAAAAGCACGCAAGTACCGTCACATGCAGATGCCGCGCATGCGTCGCCGCGTGGCTGCTCACCTGTGCAGGTGCATTTTGGATCGCCTCCAGCACAGGTACCGCAGAGTTGAGGGTTCGAACCAGCCCCACTCGGACGTGAGCCGCCAGCGTCGTCTCGCTCGTGCTCCGCAGCACCTCCTCCGACGCCGCCCGCGCTGCTCCCGATCCATACAGCCGCGCCAGCCGCTCAAACTCAGCATCCGGTGGCGCTACAACGTCCAGCAGCTGCAACGCAACCTTGGCGGCAACCTTGGACCGCAGCGAGAGCCACATCATTCCGTCCGCATCCGTCAGCGCAAGCGCAAAGTTGTGGATCTTGAGCCCGAGCTTGGCCAGCACAGCCGGCGAGAAGAGCACCGACTGAGCCGACCGCCCGCTTGCCCGACCCTGATTCACCACAAACCAGAGAATGTGCACGCACTCGAGCAGAGCCTTGAATGCACCGCTCAGGTACTTGGCCACGGTCAGCGAGCCCTGTTGCGGGCCGCCTGATCCCGCCACCACGTGCATGCTCACAGATCCCGCAAGAACGCACAGCGGCGGGAGACACGCCGTGAGCGCCTCCACAGCCTCGGCCACAGACGCTGCTGCAAGAAGGCCGAGAACCCGCTGCATCGCCCGTAGCAGCACCGCGTCGAGTCCGCCCAGCCATTGGGCAAGGACCCGTCCGGTCACAAACGGTTCCACAACATGCCGCGCGGCCTCCATCTCGCTCCCGCCCCCGCCGCTCGCCCGGATCTGCATCGCTTGCGCAGCCGCAGGCACCAGGCCCTGCAGCTTGACTAGCCCACGCTTGGCCTCGTCAAACCCAACGCACAACCCATCCTCCAACCGTTCCACCACCAGCGTCGCCTCGCGCGACTTGACCGCGCCCAACGAGTCAAACGCAGGCACCACAAGCGCAAGCGCTGGCGCGGCACCCCCGAGTCCGGCGACATCGAGCTGTCCGCGGCCCGCTGCCACACACCATTCGGCACCCAGCGTCCCAATCTTGACTGCGCCACGGAGCCAGACCCGTGCCTGCGGCGTGAGCCCGCTGCCTACCGACGACACCGCCACTCGCCGCGACGCTGTCACCACCAGCGCACACGTCAGACTCGCCAGACTCACCTGCGCAGCCGCGCTCACAAGCGCACAAGCGTCTTGCCCAGCGAGCTCGGATGCTTCCGCGAGCTGCACGCCGGTGGCGAGTCGACAGAACGTTGTAAAGCTGGCCTTGGTCGCCGTCTCCACTCCAAGCGACGTGATGCACGAGGCGCTGCTGGTCTCACCCACCTCACCGCCGGGCGAGCCACGTCCCAGCCGCTCGCCCATTTCGACGAGCGAGCGGAGCGCAGCATCGCCCCGGCCAGACCGGCCCGAGGCACCTGTCCGAGGCCGACAGCGCTGGCCACGCCGGGACTCGCCAGCCACGTCCGAGGAACCAAGATGCCGCCGTCGCTACTCGGCGCCAGCCACGCTGCCAGCGACGCCACAAGGACGCCCACCAGGCCTGAGCTGATTGGCGCTTCCAGCGCAGCACTGCTGCCGACGCCAGCTGGCGCAATGTGGGTAGCCAGAGAAAGCGCCACCGCTCGGAAGACACTGCCGAGCACCTGGCTCACCTCGCGGGCAAACACCACGAGCTGAACCACGGTGGCTAGGACGTCGACGTCCCTGCTATCGCCGGCCACATCAACAACCGGCTGCGCCGCCGAGCGCAGCAGCTGCCCAGTCGCCTCGACACCACTCGCAAGCTGCGGAACAAGCCGTGCCACTGCTACCAGAAGCTCGTCGCCACTCCCGCCAAACTGCGGCAGCTCGAGCAGATCGCGCGCCACCGTCACCACGCCCAGGTACGATGGCGCAGCTGCGGACGGAGCCAGCCCGGCACCACGGCCGAGGGCCGCCACGTTTTGCCAGAGCTTGTCGGCTGCAGCCTCGTCATCACACCGCGGCCATTGGCGAACAAGGTGCGAGGTCGACATGGCCATGGCGTCGAGCATGCTGCCGACCGACGAGAGCGCGGTGAGCGCGTACGACGGCTGTGACGCGAGTGTCTTCCGCGCCTCGTCTAGCGCGGCCACCAGGGCTTCAGCCACGCCGCCGAGCTGGTTTGCCAGCGATCCGGCGCCGAGGTCGATGACCGGCACGTCGGCCACAAAACTCCGCCCGTTGTCACGGATCTGCTCGTGGACCGCCCGAAGAGTGTCGAGGGCCTCCAGCCGCTGCGCCGCGAACAGCAGGTGCTTGCCCGACGGCGCAACAGAGCCGAGGTCAAAGACCCGCGCATACGCCGAGCAAAGCGCAACGCCCATCTTGGCCACGTTGGCGTAGTGCGAGTCGCCCGCTGTAGTTGCCGTTGCATTCGGCAGGACAAGAAAGACCTGCATGCACCCAAGGACAAGAGCCTTGAGTGGCGCGCCAATGACCTCGTCGAGCACAATGCCTGAGACTAGCGAATCCTCAGTCATCAGTCGCAGCAGCTCGGTGTTGCCCTCGCGGAGCTCGTCCAGTGCGCGGGTCAGCCGAGTTCGCTCCTCGGCAAGGTCTGGCGTCACATTGCCCATCGAGGCCGCCACACCCTGCGGCCCGCGCCACATAGCCGACTGGAGACCCGAGACAAGGGCGTCAATGTCGACCGGCGCCGAGGGCGCTTCGGCGCCACGGGAGCTCGCCGGCCCGGCACCGCTGCTCCCAACACCGACAGCAGATGAATCGCTGGTTGCGACGGCGGCGGCAGCGGTACATGCGCGCGCCAGCTCAGCCACGCGGGCGTCGACGGCCTCGCGCGATGGCGCGCCCCAACCCTCGACCCACTGTGCAAGGAGCTCAGGAGCGATGGCTGACGGGCCACAGAGCACATCGAGCACTCGGGTGCAGTGACGGGCAAGACCAGAGACAAGCGGCTCGATGACTGCTTTGGAGAGCCGCGGGAGCGAGCCTGTTGCCGACTCACCGAACCGGACCAGGACCGACGCCGCAATCTTGCCATGTGCCCCGAGCGCCGCGAGAGTCCGTCCGCGGACCGGGTCAAGCGATGCGCCCAGTGCCGAACACAGGGTCACGAGAGCGGTGGCAGCCTCGACCGCATCCGTTCCCAGCATCACCAGCGTCGAAAGCTGGACATCTTGCTTAGAACCGAGATCGGCGAGCTTGGCACTCGCCGCCGCTAGCGCGTCGACTCTAGCCAGCGCAACACACGCGACAAGGCCTGGCGTGACACCGCCGCCGGCCTCACTCGCACCTAGCCCACTCGCCACAGGCACAGAATCAGCAACGAGAACCGCCGCCGGCACCAGGCTCCCGGCCGGCACCACGTACGGTGAAATAGAAGTAACGACGGCGGAAGCGGCGTCGGCGGCAGCTGTGGTGATCAGCGGCAGGCCGTCGAGGACCAGCTCGCTGGCGAGCGCGGGGTGAAACGCAGCCTGGAGAGCAGCACAGAGCTCACCGATGACGTACGCACCGCCGCCGAGGAGCGCGGTGTCGTCATCGGTGCTTACGGCGGCCATGCCGGAGCCGGCAGCGGCAGCGGCGGCGGTAGAGTCAGCGTTCATCTGCGCGAGCCAGACGGCGTACGCCGGCGGCGACGACTCGTGGAGTGCCGAGGCAGCGAAGTGGATGACGGCAACGAGCTCAGAGACAACGAATCGAATCCAGCCCAGAAAGGCTGTGCCGGTCTCATTCGGCACGCTGCGGGCAAGCCGAACGCTCATGAGCGTCAGCTGGGTCACCTTTTGCACGAGGTCAGCGAGCGCGGCGCCGTGGGTGGCACAGATGGGCCACACGACCTCGTCGACGATGGCTTCGCCGAGGCTACCGACAGCGGCGAGGACGACCTCCAGCTGGGAATTGACGGCAGCCTTTGCGTCGGCGGCCGACCCTGCGGTATAGCTGGCCGGCGCAAGCAAGCCAGCGTCTGCAGACTCTGCGGCGGATGCCAGGCCGACAATGACCTTGAGCAGCGGATCCCATGCGTCGTCAGAGAGAAGCCGCGGGGAGGTGATGGCTGCGTTAAAGGTTGCCAGCGCCTTGCCGAGAACGCGGGCGACAGCCCAGAGCTCATTGAGCAGAGTGAGAAGGACGTCAGTGAATGGCGAAGGTGGGAGCGCGGCCTGCATGCGGGTGCAGGTGGTGATGGTCTCGACGGCGAGCGGAAGGAGCTCGGTGACGACCGAGCGGATGCGAGTCCACTCCGCGGCGGTCGGGTTGGAGGCGACGTCTGCGCCGGCGGTCCGCATGGCGGCAAAGGCCTCGACAAGCGAGACAACAACCTTCTTGGGCATGCCGAGCGAGGCCGACATCTTTTGGTAATGGAAGAGGTTAGAGACGACAGCGCCGTTGTCGCGGATGTGAGCGACGAGCTTGTTGAAGAGCCTGGCAAAGTAGGTGGCTGCCGAGTAGAGGGAGGCGGTGGGCGCGGCGGCGGCGACGTCCGACGCCAGCTGGCGCCACGAGCGAAGGTGCAGAAGGAGCGGCGGACCCGATGCCGGTCGCGGAAGGCTCGCTGGGTCGTCGGCGTAGGTCTCGATGGCGCCACAGAGCATGTCGAGCTGCGTTGCCCATGACTCGACAGCGTCTGGATTGAAGACAGCGGCAGCCTCAGCAAGGAGGCCTGCCGAGGCGACGCGGACGACGGGGCCGATGTCAGCCGCGTCGGGCGCAAGTAGCGCGCGGAGTATGGTTGCCAGAAGCGCGTACGACGACGCCGCCGGTGACGGAGGCAAGGCGGCCGGGCGGCGCGAGAGACCGGCGGAGAGGTCGGCGTTGGCGACCGTGTGCTGGGCGAGGTCGCCGGCGACGCAGCCGACGTCGGCAGCGGCAGCAGCCCAGGCAGCGGCGAGCGAGGCCACCGCCGGCGTATGCGCCTCGTCCGGGTGCGCCTCGCGCCAGGCGACAAGGGCGGCGATGACTTGCGGAAGACCTGCGGCGACGCCCGTGGCCAGAGCGGCTTCGGCGCACGCGTACGACGAGGTCTTCAGCTGGAGCTTGGTGCCAAGGGCACGAGCGTAGGCAGCGGCAGCGGACACAAGTGGCTCTCCATTAGGCACTTGTGCGTGAACGGCCTTTGTAGCTGCCAGCAGGGCCATTGTGGCCTTCTTGACGACTTCGGAGGGCGTCTGCACGCCATGGACCGCCATGGTCAGTCAGTACGTCGTGGCCTGTTCGGGTGAAAGGGCGAGACGAGTGGCCCCCCAGCCAATCAGCATTCCGCCAACACCAGCAATGATGCATGGGTTTAGCCATCACCATCTCCAACCAGAATCAATGGGCCCACCATCTCCAACCATCACCAATGGGCCCACCATCTCCAACCATCACCAATGGGCCCACCATCTCCAACCATCACCAATGGGCCCACCATCTCCCATCATCACCAATGGGCCCACCATCTCCAACCATCACCAATGGGCCCACCATCTCCAACCATCACCAATGGGCCCACCATCTCCAACCATCACCAATGGGCCCACCATCTCCAACCATCACCAATGGGCCCACCATCTCCCATCATCACCAATGGGCCCACCATCTCCAACCATCACCAATGGGCCCACCATCTCCAACCATCACCAATGGGCCCACCATCTCCAACCATCACCAATGGGCCCACCATCTCCCATCATCACCAATGGGCCCACCATCTCCCATCATCACCAATGGGCCCACCATCTCCAACCATCACCAATGGGCCCACCATCTCCAACCATCACCAATGGGCCCAGCTATCTCAATACCCCAACCACCGCCTCCAACCCCACCCGCGCACCCCAGCCCCAGCCCCACTCACCCCCATCCCCACCCCTTTCCTCCCTGCACTTCACCTCACCTCTTCGCATGGACCACTTTGCACGTGTCCGCCTAGCCCTGCTGCTGGCGGCTGCTCTCGTGGCGGCTTGCGTGTGGTGGCTGGCTACCGGCGCCCAGGACGGCATGGCGCCAGCTGCCTCCGCCACACGCGCCGGTGGTGCCCAGCAGGCTCTGCCTGCCTCGGCGAGCTCACCCGTTCCGCGACCAGCGGCCTTGTCAGCAGCATGCGCGCTCGAGGATGCATGGACGCAGTTGCCTCTGGGTGCCGCCGCGCCGTCCATCCTCTCGCCCATGCACTGCTCGGCCGCGCTGGTCAAGAGCCAGCGCGCGGCAACGTTGGCTGCGAGGAGCGACCACTCCTCGGCGCTCCTCGGCGATCTGCACGAAGCTCTGCTCGACGCTGCGTACACTGCCGATCGCTCACCAAAGAGAACCTTTGTTCACGTCGCGGTGCCCGGGGGTGAGACTGAACTTGTCCTCGGCTACTTTGCCCGCTTTGTCAACCTCGCCAAGGCTCTCAACAACGCTGCGCGAGCCGGCGATGCGCCGCACGTCGACGTCCTGTGGGACGGTGCCGTCACCGCAGGCACACCTATCGTCGACGACGTCGTCGCCAACCTTGGTCTCTGCTCCGCGGTCGGTCACGCTTCGACCGCTGCCGCCGCAGACGTGCTCGCCGGCGAGGGCCCGATCTCGGGCGTGTTTGTCGAAGCCGATGTGGCTGCTGCCGCTACCGGCCACCTTCTCGCAGCACTGCTTGAGACTGTCGAGCGGGGTGCGGCGACGTTCCCTACTCTGCTCGTTGCACCATACTCGGCCGCGGTGGAGGCTGCCGGCGGCGAGCTCGAACGCTTGGCCACTGTCGCCGAGGGCGTGGGCGGCTGGTGCGCGCTGCGTGTCGGCGACGAGGCGGCTGTCCTTGCCCCACGAGGCAGGTGCTTCGACGCCGGCTTTACCATTTTGGACGAAGCTGTCGTTGTGTGCGGCGCAGGGCGCGCGGGCGACGAGTTCTGGAAGACCATAGTCGTCCCGCACCTCATCAGCAAGTCTGCGGGTGCTTGGGCTGACGACAACGACCCGGTCAGCGTCTTCCTCGTTGCGCTCCCGATCGTCTTTTGCGTCATTCTCGCCGTGGTCATCATTGGTCGCGCCATGTGCTCCAACGTCGTCCGCTTTCCGCGGAAATGTGGCACTACCTGTCGCCACGCTGCTGCATCAGGGCGGCATTCACACGGCGGGCGAGAGTGCAAGGGGCACCACCACTGATCGAGAGCCGTCCGCACACCCACAGGCACCACTGTCCAGCTCACAATTAGCGGCCTGACGACTTGATGACCACATACGCAGCCTGTCCACCAAACGCAATGAGCATACCGAGCGCGTTGAGCGCAGAGACCGGGTGTGCAAAGTAAACGACGGACGAGACAATGATGGCCAGGCGCTTGCAAGTGTTGGCGATGGCATACGCTAGCGGCGTCACATACGCCAGGAACTGGAAGGCACCGATCGACTGGCCAAAGTGTGAGCCGGCAAGGAGCACCAGCAGCCAGCCAACCTCGGACAGCCGCGCGTCGAGAACACGGACCCCGTCGTAGACGAGCGCCACAGGAAGAAGAATGACAAACGAAACAGCCGACGAGTAGAACAGCAGATGCTCGTGCGAGATCGACATCGAGCTCAGCATGTGCTTCGAGTACAGCGACTGGATGACGCCAATGAGCGCCGACGACGCCGCTGCAATGAGGCCGAGCATGTCAAAGACCAGCTCAGTGGCCGACGCCAGCGAGACGCCAAGAAAGATGAACATGAGCGCAATCCATACCTTGCGCGGATAGCTCTTGCTGAGAAAGACTGTCGAGACAATAATGGTGAAGATCGGGCCCATGGCCTTGACCGTGTGCATGTACGAGACCGGGACAAGCGACATGGAGAAGGCCGTGAAGAAGTGCGCCGCGACTTGGGTGAGCGAGAGCGGCACAACCTTGGTAAGCATCTCGTTGAGCGTCAGCGCATGCTGCATGTGCGGCCGCTCGTCGTGATGTAGCGGCAGCGCGTCCGGCGCCACCGCCGCGGCCTTGCCGTACCCGCGTCCGTGTGGCTGCGACGGGATGCGGAAGACACGGATGTACAGCAGAGTGCACGTCGCGCACGCCCCAAACTGGAACGTTGTCAGCGCCAGCGGCAATGAGATCCCGTTCAGCACTGCCTTCTTCACGTTTGATGATACAATCGACGATGCAAACCAGAACACAAACGTCGCCACCAGCCGCATCGTTGCCGAGTTCACCAGCCCGCGCCCGCCGCCAGTAGTGGGCGCCGCCGGCCGCGCCGAATGCCAGCCGCTGCCTTCACCACCTCCGGCCGGCGCGACTCCTTCACTCCGTGGTGGCTCTACAGACGTCCACCGCAGGGACCGCTGTCTCTGCAACATTCTGTGTGTGTGTGTGTGTGTGTGTGTGTGTGTGTGTGTGTGTGTGTGTGTGTGTGTGTGTGGCTGGGTACGTGGGCAGTGGGCGGGGTGGGGCGGTTGACGGATCGAGACGGGCTGGCTCTACTGGTTGAGCGTGGGCAAGGGGAAGGCGGTAGACGGGTGGGCGTGGGTGTGGATGTGTGGGTGGATGGCGGGTGGGTGATGGGATTAGAGAGAGAGAGAGAGAGAGTGTGTGTGTGTGCGTGTGTGTGTGGTCGAGTGGTGGCCGGTTGTGGTGGCGGCAGCGGCTAGTGGGGTGGTGGTGGTCAGGCTCTGGGTCGACAACAACGGTTTACAACTCAGTCGCATCGTGACCAGCCATAGTCGCTGCGCCCGCCGCTGGAGTGGGAAGCAGCGCGCCACAGACGACGCACACGACGGCGACACCGATGATGTCCATCGAGACCTGGGCAACAGGCCCGGCGTGCGCAGGGTCGAGTCCGATGGCATGGAGCGCGAGCGGGAGGCTCGCTCCCAGGACGACCGAGATAAAGACGATGGCACCGACAGCAATGGCGATGGCGGCAATCGACGCGGTGACCAAAGCCTCATCGTCCGGCGCTGCGCCACCGATCGTCACCGCATACGCCGTCCGAGCGCCGGCCGCCGCAGCCATCACCGCCGCCAGCCCCAGGCCGATGGCGGCTTCACGAGCCATGGCCCTCACCGCCGTCGCAGGCGTCACCGATCCGGTGGCCAGAGCGCGGATCATCGCCACCGCAGCCTGATTCGACGCGTTCCCTCCCGCGCCCACCGCCATGGTCAGAGAGACAACCACAATGACATGCGCCTTGACCAGAGCCTCAAACGCGCCCAGCACCGCCCCCGACACCGACTGCAGCATCAGCAGCGCCACCAGCAGTCCACCCCTGGCCCACACCGTCGCCGCCACCCCCACTGCTGCGCCCACCGCCACCGCCTCACCTGAAACTCGTTCTTCTTGCACTTGCCCATCCCTCCGTTTGTGAGCCATGCCTCTCCCACCAGCCCCCGACCTGCCGTCCTCTGCCCCCAGCCAAGTCAGGTGCCTCCCTCTCTCGCCACCCCACGCGCTCTCCCTGCAGACCTATCTGGTCTTTGCCATCGCAGCTGTCCTCGCCTGGTACGCCCGGCTTCCGTTCAATGTGGCTGCGCCTGCGACCTTTATCTCCTCTTCCAACTTTTTCGAGCTCGGCGTCGCCGTTGCCATCGCCTCGTACGGCCTTTGATTCCAGTGCCGTGCTTGTCAATGTGGTCGGCGTTCTCGTCGAGGTTCCCATCATGCTTTCGCTTGTCTGGTCCATGA